TGTAGTTTATGCCTTGCAGTGCTGCAATGCTCAGCACCCATAACAAACTACAGTTCCCGGTATTCTTTGGGGAGAAAAATGTGTTTTAAATGCATGGTTTGTACACAGCACCTGAGACTCAGTTGTGGCAGCTCATGAGGGCAGGTTTATTTTTATTTTTTAAAAACTACCACCAGCCACTCTTTTCTAACTGATCTCCCCTTTGAGAATACATTTTATTATGCCTGTATTGGTATTTGCCTGTTAGTAAAGCCCTCCCACGGAAAGAGAATTGCTGAGCCAGAATGAAGGTGGGAGAGAGAGGGTTTTGCTCTAACTTCAGACTTGACGGAAAAGGCTGGCTATGTGGGCCTGGTGGAAAATTAGGCCCCCATCACACCAGACCCTCTGAGTGTCCCTATTTCCCAGGGACAGTCCCTGATTTACAGAAGCCATCCTGGTTTCTGATTTGATTCTGGATAGTCCCACTTTTCCTTAGGACATCCCTATTTGCATTAGAGAAATGTTGGAGGGTATGGAGTTATGCAACCCCCCAGCCAAGGAGCTAAGTAACTATACAACCTTTAGAAGACATCTGAAGGAAGTTTTTTAATGTTTAATGTTTTGTCATGTTTTTATATATGACGGAAGCTGCCCAGAGTGGCTGGGAAAACCCAGGGGTATAATTAATAATAATAATAATAATAATAATAATAATAATAAATTTATTTATATCCCGCCCTCCCTGGCCAGGGCCAGGCTCAGGGCGGCTAACACCAAATATAAATTGCAATAAAATGTAATAGAAAAACAACAACAACAAAAAACAGTTAATTAAAATACAGCTTAAAATACAGCCTCATTTTAGTAGTAGCCCATAAATCAAGACCATAAGGGGAGGAAACATCATGTATTCACCCGAGCCAGCTATCCATGCTGGTCCTACATGGGCCAGCAAAAAAGCCAAGGGAAAATTTATACACCAAATCCCATATAAGGGGACAGAGTGAGTCTAAGTGATAAAATTATTATCAGTGGGGGTTTTTTCTGGGATTTCGCATGGGTACACAGCTCTGGCACCTTTTTTTTCTAGAAGCAAAGCACTGGTGATGGACGTCCCTATTTTCATCGGAGAAATGTTGGAGGCCACCCTCCTATCATAAAGATGAGGCCCCATGGAGCTCCCTGTCCTTTCCTACCCCATGAACTGATTTCATCATTTTCCCATCAAGCACTTCCAACAGGAGAGGGAGGAGACCCAGGAGAAGAAATAATCAGGGCCTCTATAAAGACCTAAGCTGAGAACATCTGGTCCCACATTCTGCTCTCAAAAGTGCCCAGCAAGATGCCCACAGGCTTTGTCCCTCCTTTAGTGAGTCTAGGTGATTTTGGCGGAGAGGGTGGAAGTCAGGATTTGGGGTCTGTTGGGGTGGGGGGCGTGAGGATTAGACCACTAAGTACTTTCTCTGGTTCCCACTTATCCGTCTGTCTCCCACTCCTTCCTCTTCCATTGAAGCTGGGATTAGAAAGTTTGCAGGGGAAGAAGCTGTCACCTGACTTTAAATCGGCTTAGAAAGGGGAAAAAAGGGGGAGACCAAGGAGGGACTCCGGATGAATAATTCTCCCTGCTCCTTCCCACTAATGCCCCTTCCCATCAGGAGACAAGGGGCCCCCTCAAAGCTCCCTGCCATGCATTTGGAGGGCTTAACTCTCTAAATCCTTTCACGCACAGTCCGCACACAACACAGCAGAAGTCTAGGGCGCTCTCTTCTTCCTGTTCTAATCCTCTACAACAGGTCTCCTTTCCCTTCCCAGGGCCCAGATTCCTTTCTCCTGGACCCGCCCTGAGGAGGGGAAGGAAGGAATGTGGATCGTGAACATAAAAAGTCCAGCTTAAAAGGAAAGTACTCAGGGCGTGGAATGCACCACACACAGCGGAGACCTGGACTGCACCTTGCATCAGGGCTTGTGAAAACTATTAGCCTCTGAGCTTCAAAGACACACAGACACACACACACAAACACACGGTTTTTACCCCGCACTCCAGCCAAAAAGGCTCCCACGGGTGCGTGTGTACAGTCAACTAAAACAAAACCATTGTTTCCTTCTCAGTCTTGGCTGCATACACACCACACATTAAAGACACATAACTCCCCCCCAATAATACTATGAACTGTAGTTTGGAAATTGTAGCAGGGGCGATAAACTCCTCTGAAATATGTTCTCCTCTCTCCTCTCATTACCCCCGCCAAAGCTTTCTTCACTGTATAATCAGTTTTTCCTGTTCCTGCACTTCCTGTTCCAGTAGGTTTTAGATGCTGCAAGCCAGTCTCTCTACAATTTCCACCAAATGGACCCCACTCACAAACTTGCAACCCTTCCCTCCCAATGGTAACAACATCAGATAAAGGTAAAGGTACCCCTGACCGTTAGGTCCCGGTTCATCTCGCTCTATAGGCCGAGGGAGCCAGCGTTTGTCCACAGACAGCTTCTGGGTCATGTAGCCAGCATGACTAAGCCTCTTCTGGCGAAACCAGAGCAGCGCATGGAAACGCCGTTTACCTTCCCACTGGAGCAGTACCTATTTATCTACTTGCACTGGTGTGCTTTCGAACTGCTAGGTTGGCAGGAGCTGGGACCGAGCAACAGGAGCTCACCCCGTTGCAGAGATTCGAACCGCCGACCTTCTGATCGGCAAGCCCTAGGTTCAGCGGTTTAGACCACAGCGCCACTCACATCCCTGCAACCCTTCCCTCCCAATGGTAACAACATCAGATAGTTGCTAGGCAATTCACCAAGTGCTTCCTTCCTCCCTGGCTTCCCTGGAGGAATGGAACAGTCCAGGAAGCGACACAGAAGCAGCTGATCTTCCTTGGACCAAATCTGTGTTCTCCCCACCCCACCCTGGCACATGCTGAAGTCCTTACTAATAACCTTTGGAGGTGGAAATCCTGGACTGGCTTGTGGGTCCTGATCCAAATTTGATCCAGGGTGCACACCTGGCGCACGCATTCAAATCCAGGAGTTCTAGCTTGTTTCTCCTTTGATCCAGCCCTCTCTCAGTTCCCAGGCCTGGCTCCCAGCCGCTGGTTAAGTTATTAGATGATGTCTGCACCTGACAAAAGTGGGCTCAGGTGATGCCACAATAAATTTGTACCACTTTGAGCTTCATGCGTCCTTGTTATCTTTGATGGAGTAGATTAGCACGTCTACCCCTCTGGTGTCTGCTTTCTAGTTACAGGAAAATCCCATTGATTCTTCCACCGGTTTTAGTGGGGGTGGGGGAGAGGAGTGGATGGGATTCACCACCAGCCCGGTAAATTAAACTAGGTCAGCCTGCCGCAGAGCTGCTCCCAGTCTCCCTGCACTAGGCCAGCAATTGCTTTGCAGTTGGGAGCAGGACCCAGAAGTTCCAGCTTCCATCATGTACATCCTTGGTCTTCCTAGACTTCATTTACTCCTGCTGTTTGGGTCGCTTCCAAACACAGGGGTCCCAATTCTCAGGCACCCCTCCACACACTGCTGAGCTGTTGACCCGCTGTCTCCCGCAGGCTTTGCCCCTGATTAGGCTGGGTCTCCTTTCATTCCGCTTTCTGCCCTGTTTCACTCATTCAATATTTAACCGGTCCCTGTGGCTAATTCGCAGTGTGATATGAGATGGGTGGGTGTGTTCCTGCCGCGATCGGTGTCAGCCCTGGTTACTACGGAGGGTGGTTTTGGTCTCGGCGTCAGGTTAATTCACAAGGGGATTGTATCTTCCCAAACAGCACCAAAGACCCAAACAAATGGGAAGTGCAAGTTTGTCTTGCCAGAGGGATGCAGCCGCCTCTCTAGCTAAGGCTGAGCAACTGTGTATTCAAGAGGTTTATTTCTCCAAGACGGAAAGGCTTCTATTTCTGGGGTGGCTGCGGAGAGGAGCTGTTTATGCAGCGATCCTTCACCCAAACACTCATGGTTCAGACACTTCTCCTGCACAGGGAGGGGTTATTATGCCAGGAATCACAGCCGTTGCCTGACTAGAGGAGGGGAAAAGGTCACAGTGTCCACATCCAGGTATCACTCAAATGTCATTTGTCCATCTCATGAGGTTTCTGCCCTCTGTTGACTCTCCAGAGGTGGGGAGAAAGGCTCCCTTCCGCTGCATGCCCCCTACCAACATTACCATATATAGCAGCTGATACTTAATCATGCCCACCAACTCACACAGATTCTCCTGCAGAGGAGTGGGAAGTGGTCTAGACAGGCCTGCCAGGGTGTCCTATAAGGAGAGATTGGGCGTTTTGCTCTGCCACAACTCTGGGGGACTTGCTTAAAGGCAAAGCGGTGTGCTCTGCCAGATCTTCTGTCTGCTGCCCTTACCCATTCCCCACAGTTCCTACACCCAGGGCTGCATTAGAGCCCTTGAACAGAGCCGTGGCCACGGATCCCAGCCCTGCCACAGATCTTGGTACTGGTGCTGGGCAAGCCCCTGTCTCTCCTTGCTAATTTACGATCTGTAAAATGGGAGCAATGCTAGCAATTACGCCGCCTTGCAGGATAGCCGAGAGAAACATGCATGCGTTTATCTGCCTTGAAACATAGGAAAGGGGCGGACTTTAAATCTAAATAAAGATGTGGTTTCCGATCCCTTGTCCCCCCCCCCCCCGATGCCCCTACAGAACATGCACAACACACAAAACCCTTGGATCAGAGCTAAGGAATTCCTATGGAGCCCAAAGTCTTCCCGTCCCAATTCTGCCCCTTTGTATTGTTTTCATCTCTTCCTCCTCCTCTTCCCAATCCCAACACACTGGTGGAGGGTTGGCCCACCGCCAAGGCTGTTTCCCCCTCCCCACAATATCCCCCCTCGTACCCTGAAATAGATGGGTGAGCGGTTTTGCCCCCCACCCCCTGGAAACTTTTAAGGTGGGTGGATAGGGAACTACAATAGAGACTCCAGACATATATATATATATTCACATACACACACACATATAGATCAGAGGCCCCTTCCTCAATTGCCCATCTCCCTGAATGCTTACCATTTCCTACCCGACAATGTGGATTCCCTCTTGATCCGGGTTGGGCTTTTCCTTTTAGCCGTGTAAACAAGCCAGGTGTGTGTATGTGGGGCCGGGGTCTTCACTCCCAGCGCCGACCCCATCTCCAGCCGGCGGAGCCAGCTTTCTTCCGCCCCATCGACAAGGGGGTCTCGGGGAATCTCCGTCCAGGGGGGGGGTTCACCCTTCCCGGGGTTCCGAGCAGGAGGGCGAGATGGGGCGGGGGAGGCGGAGACACCGCGGGCGGGAATGCGGGGGGGGAGGTGGTCTTATTGTTTGTTTACCTCCTCGCGTCCGGCCCCTGGCGGGTCATCCTTCTTTCCCGGGGGCGCGTGCGCGCGTCTCCCACTTTCACACAAACACAGACACGCAGAGGCCGGCTGTCGTGCAGGATGGCTGTTGGCTGCACACCCCGACGGACGGGGTGTGTGTATGTGTCGGGGTATATGTGTGTGTGTGTGTGCATGTGCATGTGCGCGCGTGTGCGCGCCTTATTCTCCTGCTCTCTGCTTTAACCCTTCGGGCGCTGGAGACACAGATCTGAGCATCCCTGCTGCGTGTATATGTGTGTGTGAGGGGGCGGGGGTCTCTCCTCCTCGGAAGCCCCTCCACGCCCTTTTAATCCTGGAAGACCCTGCCGTTTATAATCTCAGGTGTGTGTTTGGGGGGCTGAGAGGGAGAAGACGTAGGTTGCGATTGCCAGGTGAGGAGGGGAAAGAAAGGGGTCTCTGCATATGCATATGTTTTGACTTCGCTGGCCACTGGCATTTAAAACAAAGGACAAGATCCAGCCGATATCAAGTACTCCTTCATCCGGATCCTACACATTTTTCTTTTACCTGCAAGTAAATCATTGATTTACTGATTGTTCCGTAGATCTGGGAGACCACCCGCTTTCCAAACCTCTCTCAGTGGATTGATGTCACTCAATCCCGTCTTTCTCTGTCCGAAAAATTGGAATGGGATAATTGTTTAGTCGTTTAGTCGTGTCCGCCTCTTCATGACCCCATGGATCAGAGCAGGCCAGGCACTCCTGTCTTCCCCTGCCTCCCGCAGTTTGGTCAAACTCATGCTGATAGCTTCAAGAACACTGTCCAACTATCTCATATCTTATTTTTGACCACATCCAACTTACCAAGGTTCATAGTTCTTACATTCCAGGTTCCTATGCAATATTTTTCTTTACAGCATTGGACTTTCCTTTCGCTTCCAGGCATATCCGCAACTGAGCGTCCTTTCGGCTTTGGCCCAGCCACTTCATCAGCTCTGAATCTACTTGTACTTGTCCTCCGCTCTTCCTCAGTAGCATGTTGGACACCTTCTGACCTGAGGGGCTCCTCCTCCAGCGTCATAACTTTTATATGCCTGTTGTCTTTGTCCATTGAGTTTTCTTAGCAGGGATACTGGAGTGGCTTGCCAGTTCCTCCTCCAGGTGGGTCACATTTGGTTAAAACTCTCCACTATGACCTGTCCATCTTGGGTGACCCTGCACGGCATAGCTCATAGCTTCTCTGAGTTATTCAACCCCCTTTGCCACAGCAAGGCAGTGATCCATGAAGGGGAATGGAATAATAAGCTATACTAAACAGTGTGCTTCAACTTGAGCCCCAGAAACTGCTTTGAATACTGGACGGGTGAGAGAAGAGGTTAAAATGACAATCGTGCATCTGAACACGTGCAGAATGCTTAGGAATCCGCTGATAAATCGGGGCTTCTGAATCGAAAGTTGCTTGCTTGCAGGCAGGCTTGAAGAAGCTCCTCTTTTTAAAAAGAAAAGAAATGAAATGAAACCGCCACTGTTTGTTGTGAGAATGAAAGTGACTTTGCACTTTCAATGTGATAATGAGGAACAGTCAGGCAAGGGTGAATGTCAAAGACACATTTGCACACAACACAAAGATTAAGTCAAATATACAGCTGCACGACTGTGACAACTGAGAACTACTGGCTTATTGGTACAATTATGCACACACTACGGAAATTAATTTTGGCCTGGTTCACACACATGCAGGCTCATCCAAAGACTATCTGCATGTGTGAATGGTCCGTCACAAATATAACACCGGAGACAGTTTCATGTTATCTCACTACACATGCAATAGTGTTAGTTATGTCAATTCATGCATTCAGTTGCCAGTCACCAAAGTCTGATTCCCATATGTGTGTGCACCTCACTAGTTCTACTTTAATGCTGTAGAAACCAGGCCTGTCCTGACTCCACAGAACTGTATGTGAAGCGCTCGAAACACGCAGTATGCCTAGGCATACTGCTCAGAAGTAAGTGTTATTTAGTTTACTGAAATTAGTGTGGGTATGAGACTGATGCTAAAGTAGTAGTAGAATGACAGGTACTATAGGTTCAAAGGAGAAAGATGGAGGTGTGCCTTCTACCTGACCCACCAAACACTCACTCTGCACCATAATAAAGGCAGAATGGAGCTCAATGTGGGAAGAATAAGGCAGAGAAGGGTGCAAGGGCATGGCTGACAGCTGGAACATGATGCGCAACGGGCATGGCAGACTGGAAGAGGTGTGGCAGGCCCTCTAGAAAGCCCTGGGAGGCAGGATTAGGCCCGGGCACCAGATGTTCCACCCTGCTACTATAGAAACTGAGAGGAATAGGTAGATAATAGGAAGACAGAAGGATAACTGACAGGTGGAATCCATAGTTACAAAACAGAAGCAGAGAAGAGAGTGATAAAGAGACAGTGAATATATACATATACTATATGTAGATCCTTAAGTGGATATGATCTCATTTTATTTTCACAGCAGCCTTGTAAGGTAGACCTGGGCTGCATTACACTATACCATGCGTAGGCAAACTAAGCCCGGGGGGCTGGATCTGGCCCAATCGCCTCCTAATTCCAGCCCGTGGATTGTCCAGGAATCAGTGTGTTTTTACATGAGTAGTGTTAAGTTGTGGGTGAACATATCAGACGATTCAGCGATTCTTCAAACAGCTCTTGTTTATTCACAGGCCAGGACAGAACTGAACTGAACTGAACTGAACTGAAGGGTTCAGTCAGCCTGCTTATATAGAGCTCCAGAACAATGTAACTGTAACAATTTTCTAAAACTATCCAATCACTGAATGTCACTTTTGATCCCTTATTTGCATAACTATCTACAGTATCCCCCTGCTGGCCCAGGGTGAGAACTTCAGTACATAACAAGTAGAATGTGTCCTTTTATTTAAAAGGCATCTCTGGGTTATTTGTGGGGCCTGCCTGGTGTTTTTACATGAGTAGAATGTGTGCTTTTATTTAAAATGCATCTCTGGGTTATTTGTGGGGCATAGGAATTTGTTCATTATATTTTTCTTCAAAATATACTGTTAGTCCGGCCCCCCACAAGGTCTGAGGGACAGTGGACCGGCCCCCTGCTGAAAAAGTTTGCTGACTCCTGCCTATACCTTTAAAGCACATTCTTTTTCCTCAAAGAATTCTGGGCGTTGTGGTTCGTTAAGGGTTGCTGGGAATTGTAACTCTGTGAGGGGTAAACTGCTGGGGTGGGGAATATGCAGAGGTACCTCAGGTTACATACGCTTCAGGTTACAGACTCCGCTAACCCAAAAATAGTGCTTCAGGTTAATAACTTTGCTTCAGGATAAGAACAGAAATCGGGCTCTGGCGGCGCAGCAGCAGCAGGAGGCCCCATTAGCTAAAGTGGTGCTTCAGGTTAAGAACAGTTTCAGGTTAAGTATGGACCTCCGGAACGAATTAAGTACTTAACACGAGGTACCACTGTGCTTCCAACACCTGCTTTAAAGTGACAGTGTGTTCAGATCCTTGCCTAGCCCAAGATTAATTTCACATTGGGGATTTGATGCCAGGTCTGTTCTTTGCACCACCCTGCATGCAGAAACGTAGGCATTCAGGACTCCAGAACAGTGCAGGCAGCGAGAGAGAGGAGGGAAGCACCGAGAGAGTGTGTTAATCCCTGCAAAGCCTGGCATTGAGCAGCCAGCAGTTCGCACAGCTTTGTATACCAGGCATATGCGCGCCCCAAACAGACACAGTCTGTTCCTCGCCAGCTCCGTCAGTTCCCGGGAAGACACCGCTCCTCTGCTGGAGGGAGGAAAGAGAGCTTTGCAGACCCAGCCCAGGAGTCCTGGAATGACACCGGCGGCTGCTGGGGATGGGGGTGTTAGCAATGCAGGAAGGGGTACCATTTGCCCATCCGCGAGCCTCGCCAAGGGGCCCCCGCGGATCGCCGCCGCGCAGTGCTGCTCGCTCCATCAGCTGAGCTGCAGCAGAGGCCCGGGCAGCTGCAAATCGCCCCATCATTTCCTCGCCTGCATCTTAGGTGGGCTGGAGAGAGCAGGAATCCGGCAGCTTGGAAACCGCAGGTCGTGGCGACAGCGCCCCCTTCTGACTCTGCCTGCAGCCGCAGGCGCCTTCCCTGCGCCCACTTTCAGCGGGGGGGGGGGGAGCTTTTGATGAAATTTGACTGATTAAATTTAGAGGCAACCAGCCGCAGAGCTTGCCTTGGGGACCGCGGTCATTGGGAGGGTGGGAAAATATTTTGCTATTTTTTTTTATTGTGCTGCCTTTACTTTTAAAAAGTTATTTTTTCTTCAGTATCTTACTCTTGTTGGCAGCCTTGAGCAGCTATAGAGAAAAAATAGGGATGGTGGCATATGAAGGGTTAAATAAATCAAATAAATAAACTAGAAAGAGGCTGGATGTGAACCTCAATGGTCTTGATTTTGATGTTCACCCCATATATGCCTGTGGCATTTATTCAAACAGCAAATTTTAAATATTAAAAGTGATCCGTTTGTATTCCTATCGCAAAAGGCTGCTAGTCCTATGAGTCTGTCACATTAAAAGAAATGAGAGTGGAAAGAAGTGAAGGGGGATCTTGTGGCACGACAAAGACCCACAAATTTGTTATGGCATAAACGTTTATGAGCCATTGCCTGCTTTTTCAGCTGTAAGGCTTCAGCATTAACCTTAATGCAATGTTAGATAGTTCAGTGCTATTATCATACCCATACTGCAGATGAGGGAGACTGAGGTTGAAGGAGAATGCAGTGTTTATAGATTAATTTTAGACTCTAGGCAATAGTCATATGGAAATCCTCTCTTTAGATAGTAATGTGCATTTGCTTCAACATATGGCAAGCCATTTGGGAGCCTTCCTGCTCATGGGGTTGTGTTTTGTTTTTTACCAGCTGCACAAATTCTTCATCAGATACCCCACACTAAAAGAAAAAGCCAAATAAACACAAAGCATGCTTTGTTCCTTGCCTG